CATGGTCAATCAGTATCTCCTAAGGCCCAGCAGCAGGCCTATATCTGTGTCTCAAAAGGAGAGTAGTTATCTTTCTTTGGATGATGGCAGGGTCTTGCTCCAGAGTCTGTGCTGTGATTCACACAGAGGGTTCTATCAAAGGCTCCAAACAACATTCCTATCTGCCACTGACATTCCAAGCACCATTAAATCTGCTGGATCATGTGGCCCATGTGCAAAGCAGCTTGCACAGCAGGCTGGACCTGTTGCAGAGCCCCACTCAAAACTAGGAGTTTTTCTGACACTCTCTTGTTCTGTGCCCCATTTAAACTAGCAGCTTTTCAGCTCACTTAGTAAATGAGCCAGAATAACACACACAAAGGAATACATTGCCTCCAAAATCCAACTAAGCCCACTAGGTTTTGTGCCTTTTTGTGTCGTATGATGGAGTCCATATGGCAGATGACAGCCAACATTAAGACCTGGAGCTGAAACAGTTAAGACTGGGGCAGACACTATAGATATGTATCCTGTAAGTAAGACTTACACTCACTGTTCTTACAGCTTAGCTAGGCTTAGCCTTGAGTTAGAAAATGACAGCATGCTACACTATGTCTCTAAGTTACAAGTGAAATAAACATAAGTCTTCAAAAGGACTTCAGAAACAAACATTTCTCCATGAAATGACAGAGGTAAGTGGTGGTTTTAACTTAATATTTAGTTACCAAGGAAACCACCTCATTCATCACTCCACTCATCCACTCTCTCTGCCCTCACCCTGCATTATGTTCCTCCATAGCACTTAGTACTATCACATGCCACAAATTCACTTATCATGCTCTGCCTTTTCTAGCAGAATGCCAGCTCTCAAGAGCCAGGGATTTGTCTTGTCCACCCATGTGTTCCGAGTGCCCGGAACAATATTTATTATAATATTTAGTAGGCTTGCAGTTCATTTTTGTTGAATAAAATAATCTCTGTAGCTATATCTATATAATCACATTTGATAAAAATGAGTTTATCCTTATTTTGAAGGTGTGGGTTTATACAGAAAAATAAAATTCTACATATAATCTACTAGTGTAGCTATGAAAATTTTAATTTCAAAATAAGAGTAGAGAAATAAAAAAGTGTATACTGACAGCTAGATCATCTTAACCTTAATATAATGAAATGCCTCTGCTCTTGGAAACCAAAAACCATATGCTTTGAATGTATCACTAATGTGAATAAATCTTTCTGCCCCAAACTTAGGCATCTTTGCTATTAACAAAAATAATTCATTTTCCAAGTAAAATTTAATGCTATATTCTGTACTTTTGATACTATTTTTTTCAGAAAATAAAGCTAAGTTAAATATACCCTCCAGCATTTTACATTCAAAATTTCATGATGCTATTTACATTTTATGGATTTGTTTATTTATTTATGTATTTTTTTGAGATAGAGTTTCACTCTTGTTGCCCAGGCTGGAGTGCGATGGTATGATCTCGGCTCACTGCATCTTCCACCTCCCGGGTTCAAGCGATTCTCCTGCCTCAACCTCCTGAGTAGCTGGGATTACAGGCATGCACCACGATGCCTGGCTAATGTTTTTGTTTTTGTTTTTGTTTTTTGTAAGTAAAGACAGGGTTTTACCTTGTTGGCCAGGCTGGTCTCGAACTCCTGACATCAGGTGATTCACCTGTCTTGGCCTCCCAAAGTGCTGGGATTATAGGAGTGAGCCACTGCACCTGGTCTATGGATTTATTTATATGCGTTGTCCTTAAAAAAAATTTATGCAGCTTCCTACCTGAAATTTCAATTTCTCTAAATCCTGTTCACAGTCCCCACACTCAAATCATTTAGTATAGCTTCACCAACTCTACCAGGTAGAAAGTCTCTCTCTGCTTGCAGTACCTCCAGCATGCTTTCAGTGAGTGTAAATACGATTAGCATAAAATCATGTGGCACCTAAAGCTAAAACAACTGAAATAATTAAGAAAAACGAAGAGCACATGTAAGAAGCAGGAGGCTTAACTGCAATGGGAACCAGCCAAGGGAATTCCCAGCACCCCTCACGTGCCTTAAGCTCTCAGTGCTTCCGTAGCTTCGTTAAAGTCAGACAAGTAACCAACTATGGGTTTATAAATTCGATAATCAGAGGTCTTTAGAATTCTTTATCAAGAGAAATATGGATTCGGCTGCAGGCTTTGGACAGGATGGCAGCTCCAGTTCTGAGCCAAGAGCTGAGAATGTGCTGGCTTGACAAACGGATGCTCAAGCCATCCATAAAAGATAAAATATAAAAAGTCAAAATTTAAAAAAGGTTTACTGCAAACTAAAAATAAGCACAAATTTTGATAAAATATTTCATGAGGCTACATATTACAAGTTTACAAGTTATTGGAAGGACTCCTCTACTGCATGCTGGGAAGATAATTCTGTCTTATATGATCCCTAGCCAAACTAAGCTAACTAAGGCAGTAATTTTGATAATGCCCCGGGGCTCTGAGCAACCCTAGGATACTTTCCTGTACAAAGTGACAATGCTGATTCATTCCCTCAGGAATAACACAGCCTCATCATACCTCACCCTCAAAAAAACCCTTAGCAATCCAAAGCTACTCTGGCAACTGTGAACTTCCCTATGTTGCTTTGGTCACACAGAAAGGAGATCATCACAATATTACTAAATAACAAAGAATTTGCAGAAGCAGGATTCGTTATCCTTCCATCCCAGGCAGGTCACCAGCAAAATGACTTTAAACAGACATCCTAAGGAGATAAAATTATCTTCTTCAATTTCCTCCACTATTTCATTGGTTCTCAAACTTTAGAGTATCAGATTCATCTGTAGATTGAGGCCTTGTTAGCTTAAATGGCAGACTGCACAGGGACCCTGATGCCCACCAGGGTCCTCCAGGTGCCAGCCAAAGCCCAAGTGCCCTTTAAGGCAGGGGTCCCCAATCCACCCACAGGCCGTGGACCAATATCAGTCTGTGGCCTGTCAGGAACTGGACTGCATAGCAGGAGGTGAGCAGCAGGCAAGCCCGCATCAGTACTGCCTGAGCTCCGCCTCCTGTCAGATCAGCAGGGACGTTAGATTCTCCTAGGAGCGTGAACTCTACTGTGAACTGCTCATGCAAGGGATCTAAGTTGTGCATTCCTTATGAGAATCTAACTAATGCCTGATGATCTCAGGTGGAACAATTTCATCCCAAAACCATTCTCTCCCTACTCCCCCAGTTTATGGAAAAATTGTCTTCCACAAAACCGAGTCCCTGGTGCCAAAAACACTGGGGACTGCTGCTTTAAGGGCTCAAAAGAATGAAGAATAGAGCAGGTCCTCATTATTCTTAAAAAATACATCAGAGTACTTGGAAGACAGTGACTTTTCTATCAGTTGTTTTAATTTGTTCTCTAAATCTACTCTTAATTCTAAGGGAACATATAATATGGTATGTAATAGAATGCAAAGAAAACATACCAGTCTGAATGTTTGGTGATTACATATATATATACACACACACACACACACATACATATACATATATATATATATCTTAAACACAAAAATTAAACATTTTATATATTTACTAAAAATTAATAAAATTCAGAATATCCCAAGACATGCATAAGCATCAAAATAACAAATCAGGCCAGGCTCATGTAAAGTGCCAGCATGCAGCATGCACTGTATTGCATGACCTCCCTGCTCTTCTCAGAAAGGACATCATGAACCCTCCCCACTGATACAATGTAAATGCAGGGAGCTGCATCCAATGTGTATTAATATTTACATGTATGCTTTGATGAGTTCTAAAAGTACCCCATTATAGGTACTCATAGGTAGGTAGAACATGAAATGTTATCCTGTCTAATCTGGATAAATAAGTCCCTAAACTAAACTTCTAAAAAAAATACTTGGCTAACCACACATCTCAGGAAATCCCTGACTTTTCCAATCCTCTACATGGATGAGTCACTACAGTATATTTTGCTATAGGATAGTCCAGAGGCCATTACAAGATATAAAAATAGGTGAATAATCCTAAAACTCTGAATTAAATCTCTCAAAGCAAGGTTACCTTTACATTCCTTCTTTAAATCTAGATACAGCAAAGACAGGAAATGAATGGTGAATATATAAATAATTCTATAGCTAGATTGTTATAGGCATGAGAAGACTATTATCCACAGACTCAAGCAAACATAAAAGGTGGACTCTTAAACATACAACAGTTTCAACAACTTTGCATAGTTTTTATATATAAAAGTGAATTTATGATGTTAATCTACCATATGGGAGGGCATTAAGTCATAGTTCACTTAAATCATTTACCAATTAACTTCAAGTACCAAACAGAATTTCTATAAACCTAAATCTCTTTACTAAGGGATAGCTCAAGCATTACCTAAATATTCCCTACAGAGGCTTTCTGTGCAGCAATGTCAGGGATGCTCCATATTAAACAGTCTCTACCATTCCTTATATTTCCAAATTCAGTGATGACTTCTTATAAGATGAGATGTGAACAGTGAGAAAAAACTAAATAGTTGAAAAAATATTAAGAGAGAAGTTCCTGTTACCCTTATTAGAATATTTTAAAAAGGAAAGAACAGGGGCTGGGCATGGAGGAAGAAGGGAAGTTATGGCCTCTGTAGAGGATTAAATGATGACCTACATAAAGTGAGGGACACTTAGCATTAATTCTCATAACTTTTTTTAATTTAAAACTTTAAGGCCAATATAACTTTCTAAATCTTTCTGCACACTTTCATTTTTAATTACCCTTGTAACACAGTAATATATTACTTTTAAAGAGAACTGGAACACAATTTTCAAATATCACATGCCTCAAGGGATATAGTAATAATTTTCAGTTAAATTACATTAACATGCACTATCACTAAAACACATATATACACATATCAAAAGAACATCATGGCTCTGGAAGCACCCTGAGTTTATAGAGACCCTTAGTCATTCTAAAATGTACAAAGGAAAAATGTGTTCTGCAAAAATAAAGTTTACTTACTTGTATTGATCAGAAATTGATTGGACACACCAGGATGATCTACATCATGTATTGCACTGGCAAAAATTGCTGCAAGAATCTCCAAATCTGTAAACACGGCCTGGAAAATCAGACAATATAGATAATATTACTATTCTACAATGATATGAATTAAAAGTATAAACAAATGAGAAATCTCTAGAATTTAAATGGAAAACAAAATGGAGCTTCAAAATGTGTTATAATGTGTCAAGGGAGAGTCTTAGATACTTATGAACTTTTGAAGTATAATCTTGGAAGAAAACATTTTATCTAATTTTATTACATCTCATGATCAAATGTTTTCTATTCACTATTTTTTAAAATATTATTTTAAAACTCTCTGAAATTCTTTTAAAATAAAATAAGAGTTTATTTTCTAAGTATTTAAGATGTCTAAGAATATTTTGAAAATGTACATAAAATTAGTAAGACATGAGCAATTTTTTTCTTTTCTTTCATCAAAACCAGAGTTTCTCACCTTCAGCACTATTGACATTTTGGGTCCGATAACTGCATGGGAGGCTGTCCTGTGCATTGTAGGATTTTTAGCAGAATTCCTGGCCTCTACCGACAAGATGCCAGTATCATGTACAACTAAAAATGTGATAGTTGTAACAACCAAAAATGCCTCCAGACATAAATAAAAATATATTTTAAGAAAATCAAATTGCTTTAGTAAACAATTAATGAAATAACTTCTTAGGATTTAGAAAAATTAAAGTATCTCCTTCTAATATAATTCTACGAAAAATATCAATATATTGCTCATGTTTTATAAAATGTTCTTTGGCCTATAAATAAAAGCCGTCAGACTACATTTCAAGAAAACAAATTAACAAAAAGGGAATAAGCCAGATGTGCTTTATGAAATGTCCAGTGGATCATTTCAAAGAAGCAACATCATAAACAGATCAATCATTAAATCTGTCACCAACTTTCACAAGCAAAATCCATCAAAGACTTGACTGTCTATTCACCACAGCATTTTCCCCCATAAGTCAATAAATTATACTTCCAATGAATCCAATTATTTTCTCCATTGAAAACCCTTCAGATAAAAGTTTAATAGACCTTTATGAGTGGCAAGTTAGTGTTCTTGAAATTTCAGAAAACAGATTTACCTCCAAAGCAGGTGTAGATAATAGCACATGAGTAGACTGGACAACATCTGCAGCATGGATGTTGTTGTGATAGGCCACATCAGCATGGTAATGGTCTTCGAGAGTCATAAGATATGTAATTAAAGTATCTACTGGAATTTTAAATGTTTTTAATAAATCCCGTTCCTGTAGGGAAAAAAATCATTTTAACATTTTTGTCTTTATGTAAACAATTTCTCCATAGAGTATGTTTAAGAAAAAAAAACACACACACCAGTGTTGCCAATGGATAACCTGGAAATGGCAACTGCACTCTCACATGTCTAGTGAGGAAAATGGGAACCTTTGAGAAGATCCAGGGACTTTGGGACAAAACCAAAGTTGGGTTGTCCCACTGGAACCCAAGAATACTATGCCCTAGCTGTATGGTGTCAGGAAAGAGGTGCCAACTCTAAAAGTTTCTGTGTCCCATTATCATGGAGGCAGCTCCAGTCAAGCGCCCTGCATCATACCAACTGAAAATCAACATCCTCTCTAGGCTGGAGTTTCCCATTCCAGTCCCAGGGTACCTACAACATCCTCAACTTCTCATTTAAATCCCACCCGGAGCTGGAGCAAAGCGTCAATAAGAGTATGAAATAGATATGGAGAAAGAAGCAGGACACAAGAAAGTGACTGAAAAAACTATATTCTAAGGTTAGCCAACAGGGGCTTTATTCATTTTTTTAAAGTTAGTACTCCATTCTCTATGCCAGTCAGGTTCAGATGACTAAGATAATGTCTAAATTATTATTTTAATAAATTGCTTCAACTTGGCTATATTACATCTTTATCTTAAATGCAAAAAAAAATAACAAAATTGATGTATTTGTGGTTTATACACACTCCACCTTTCTGTATCTTCACTTGTCCCTTGGCAAAGGAGCAAGTAAGGATAAAAGTATAAAAATAAGCAAAAGATGGCAAATATTAAAAAAGACAAAATGTATGCACAAGCTACAGACTGGACATTAAGTTCCTAAATAAAAGAAATGTAATAGAACTCAACTACATTACCTGAAAAATGGTGTGCATGATAACAGTCAAGGGCCGGTTACCAGACAACTCTGCTATTCTGAAAACATGAAGACCCCATTTGTTCACATCTTCTAGTTCCTGGAGTTAAAAAAAAAAAAAAAACCAAAAAATTAGAAAGTACAGTAAAATATGACTCAATGAACATAATCATTGAAAAATTACAGACTTTAGGTGGCCGGGCATGGAGGCACAAGCCTGGAATCCCAGAACTTTGGGAGTCTGAGGCGGGCAGATCACTTGAAGTCAGGAGTTCAAAACCAGCCTGCCCAACATGGTGAAACCCCATCTCTACTAAAAATAAAAAAATTAGTCAGGTGTGGTGGTATGTGCCTGTAATCCCAGCTGCTTGGGAGGCTGAGGCAGGAGAACTGCTTGAACCCGGGAGGCGGAGGTTGTAGTGAGCCAAGATCACGCCACTGCACTCTGCACTCCAACCTGGGCGACAGGGTGAGACTACGTCTCAAAACTAACCAACCAACCAACAAACAAAAAAACCAAAAAACCCCCCAAAAAAACAGACTTCAGTGTAAAGACAGTTAGATTTTTTAAACAATGATCCATTTTAAATGTTAACAGACACACCATGTAAGCACAGGCAAACTTTAGGCACATTTACTTAAATGTACTGAAAACTGAATAGTATGGCTTAACCTTAGGACTTTGACATTACAACCTATTTATGTACTTTAAGTATCAATCACAAAGCATTTAATGGATAAAATCTATTCACAAAACCTTAACTATTTTCCTAAAACCCAGAAGACATGACAGATTTCTAACTCTTTAAGGCCAAACAATGAAATGAAGATGCAAATAATCACCTCCCAAGCCCCTAAAACATACAAACCAAACCACCTGTCTAAGGCACTTTACAAGGAGCTTTATAAAATGCCTGCCCTTCGAAAAACAAAAAAACAAAAAATAAAACCTCCAATTAATAAACTTTTCTATCTATTCAAAAGACTAGAAGTGAAAATTCATAAAAGGGCATCATTTAATATTCATGATCCTGATCTTTGAAATCATCATACCTTGGCAAGGACATCTTCTTGTTCAGTCTTAACTCCAAACCTTGGAATACTTGAATTAGTCAGACTAGAGCTGTGCATCAATTTCTTGACTCCACTGATCTGAGACATTGGTCTTTTCTTTTTCTCCTTTTCCTTCTGAGTTGGAGAAGGAATTTCCACTTCATGTTGCTTATCTTGAGAAATTCAGAAAATGTTCTATATTTATTATTAATTCTATCTGTTTTTATATCATCATATGCATAACTGGAAGGATTATAATTGATCATTATATATTCCACGAAATGGTCCCAACTAAAAATTTTCCTTTTAGAGAGTTCAGTATTTACATTTGAATTGGACTTAATTTGATATCTTCAAACACAAAATTAAGCAAATAAGTTCCACTACAAAATAATAATATCAAATGCATTCCATGGTTACCTCTTTGATACAATGTCCTAATAAAAAATGTTGCAAGACTTAGCATGACAGCCGACTCAGAGAATACACAACAGGTAGTTATTTCCACTGTTCATCAATTCCATTCCTATTTGAAATTGACTTAATGAACTGAAAATTGTTCTTGCCAACTAAGGACTCCAGTTTCAATACGTACTTTGAAATGGTAGAAACTTTATATACAAATGTCATGAAAACAGCAGTATATAAAACTAACAGCTAACTGAAATGGGTAACACTGTGGGAGTTGAAACAGCAGGTTTTGGATGACTTAGATTAATTCTGCTACTTTTTATTTCTGTATGATAGTGAGATAAGGGTTAAGTCCCCAGGTTTTATGGGAGTATAGAGAATCGTAAATATGACCTGATAACTGAATACACACATAAGCTAATTGTGTTCTATAGTAAAAGACCTAACATGTCTTCATACTTTCATCCACGATTTCAAGGCAGTGATAAACAACTCTAACTCATCCTTGTACGTAGAACACGTTCCATAAGTGTTTAATATGTTAACTATATATAACAGCAATTTTGTTTTGAAAGTAAGTCCAGGATACATTCAAATTACTGCCCTTTATTTACTGCATTTTCTTTCTGTGGATGAGGTACAAGAGTTGTCCCAGGACACCAAACTCAGCCATTATTAGCAAACTTTTATTTAGCATTTGTATTTTATCCACCACCAGTTTACTAGGCTTGATGTCCACGAGACTGTCAATTCATCGAGGGTAGGAATCATTTCTAATTCATCATTCAACACCTATTGCCCAACAATGGCTGGCATTTAATAAGAATTGGTTGAATACATGAATAGATCTCTCTACAAAATACATTTTACAGTTTGGTACTATGAAAAAATGGCAATATATAACCTTAATTTGAGAATTCCCAAAGTCCTAAATAAAACTAAGAACATGTACTTTTTCACCTGCAACTCTAAAATTCAGAGGCGTATAGTGTCAAATTATTAATATGACAAATGAAAACAAATAGAACTTCTAACACCTGTTAGGTTTCCAAAATGAGTTGGCACCCCAATCCTCCTATAAAAACAAGCAAACAACTGAAGAAAACATTTTGAGTTGCATGTTGTTATTCTCACCTAAGAATGTGTTTGATATAAACTCTGACACTTGATTTCCAGACCGACTCATTTCAGAGAGATGGGTGAGCTCCCGATTAAGCATCCTTTTAAACTGAAAAACAGAAAAGTAAAATGAAATAATAGAAGAGGAAAGTTGAAGTGAAATACATATGCATACTCTGAGATACAGGAAGATATGCCCAAAGAATTTTTAACTTGTCCTGACAATTTAGAACAGTGCCTTCCAGCAGAACTTTCTTCAATGAGGGAAAACACCATCATCTGTGCCTCCAATGAGAGCAGTCACTAGCCACAGGTGGTTACTAAGCATTTGAAATGTGGCTAGTGTAAATGAGAAGCCAAAATTTGAATTTTAGTTAATTTTAACTACTTTTAATTTAAATAATCACATGTGGCTCATGGCCACCAGTTTGACCAGCACAAATTTAGACTCTCAAGGACTGAAGGGAAAATCAGGAGAAATAAGCAAAGAAAAGCAAATTAAAAATTAAGATGTATTATTAGTTATTTAGAGAAGACAGAAACTAATTTATAGCACATAAAAGTGTTGCCATACAATAAAACATGGAATGCTTTCATCAATTTATCATGAGCAGAAATGAATATATATATACTGATCAAGGTCTTAAAATTTAGTCTTTTACTCCAAAGCAAAACTTAATAGACTTGAGTACTCTTCTAGAACTATGGAGAAGTAAAATATCTAAATAAATACTGTATAATGTTTCCTTTTAAAAGTTGTTTTTCAAGTAAGAGTATAACATTTATTGGTTCTCAACATCCACCAAATTTACCGTTTTCCCAAGTCACTAAATAGGAAACAGGTCAATTTTCAATAATCTACTTCACAATTTTTATTACTGATGCCACAGTGCCTATTTCATTGAAAGAAACACTGGAATTAACCTACCAGCACCACATGGCATTACCAGTATCCAAAACTCCCCAAGATTTTACACTTCCCTAACCCCCATCAGCTGTTTCTTAAGCATTAGGCATTTCAGAGTCCTTTAACTCTGAAAACAGCCCGACAAGGCCTTTTAATAAGCCTTCAATATTTGCCTTAATATACAGAAACAATGTATTTTTTCTATACATAGAGTAACTGCTGTTAGATACTTGAAGAGAAAAAAATGTCAGATGCATTTACTCTAATCATTAGATTAGCCTTTAAAATTTGGAATTTCACCATAAATTCTCATTTAAGTATGAAAGTAAGTGTTGAGTTTATATTTTAGTAATGTTTGAAATATAATTCTTACTCAGTATTTATTTAGAATTATTTTGCTTCTCTGCATAATTCATACCAAGATGGCCTGACTCTATACCGTTTGCTAAATAACTTCCAAAGTCAATCTTACAGACCATCTAGATTAGGTTTTAACTCAGCATTTAACTGTTATCAAAACAAACAAAAACCCTCAACCATTTCAATGTACTGTTGGATGAAAGAGATGTGTATTCGCATTCCAGCGTAGTCAAAAACAAAGAACTGGCATGAACAGTACAAATTCTGGTTGTTAAATTACTGGTCTAGAGAGCTTAGTCTCAAACTTAGGAACACTAAGTTCACTTCTTTGTTCACATGTTTTTATAACTCCTTTCTAATTATAAAATGTACATGTGCTATAGAAAATTTAGAAAGCTATATTGAAAAAAAGAAAATAATGTAAATCTCCACCGCTGGAAGATAACCACAGATAATTTGTCAAATTTCCTTCTATGCCTTTTTTCTACCCTTGTATGTGAATACATATTTTTAAAACTGGCATCAGGTGGTATACAGAACGTGGGTTACTGCTTGTGTTCACTCGGCATTATATCTTATAACCTATGAAAAAAAATAAACTTCGAGCCTTCTAAGAATATTGGTAGACATTTATAATAGTGTTCAAACATTTTTCTGTCCCTCTTTACAAAGTTATAGTTTCTTGAGTAAATTATGGGCTATCAAATAATTTAATGAGCTAATATAGAAAGTGTCTTCTATTTAGCCTGGCACATAGTAGATGCTCAATATTATTTGAGTTCCTTCTCCCAGCTCACTTTCTGGCACTCAGTCCCTAACTTTTGTGCCTTTTATAGTAATAGCTGATTTTTGTCATTGCAGGTCAGAGAGATGAAGGATTTGACTATAGTTATGACCATAAAAATACTTACTTAAATTGCTAGCTCCTCTTTCTCAAATCCCATAAAGAATTTGGAATAGCATTAGTATGGGAAACCATAGCTATGTCTCAAAAGCACAACTAAAATGTCATGCATACACAGGTTTAAAAAAACTCGTTGCTTAAGACTTGAAACCAACCCAGATGTCCATCAGTGACAGAATGGATTAAGAAAATGTGGCACATATACACCGTAGAATATTATGCAGCCCTAAAAAGGGATGAGTTCATGTCCTTTGCAGGGACATGGATGAAGCTGGAAACCATCATTCTCAGCAAACTAACACAGCAACAGAAAACCAAACACCACATGTTCTCACTCATAAGTGGGAGTTGAACAATGAGAACACATGGACACAGGGAGGGGAATGTCACACATCAGGGCCTGTCAGTAGGTAGGGGGTTAGGGGAGGGATAGCATTAGGAGAAATACTTAATGTAGATGACGGGTTGATGGGTGCAGCAAACGACCATGGCATGTGTATACCTATGTAACAAACCTGCACATTCTGCATGTGTATACCAGAACTTAAAGTATAATAATAATAAAAAATCTTTGCTTTACAGATAAATTCACTTGGAAAAATATACTCATTAGGCAAAGCATATTCCAAAGAAAAGAGTCTGCTAAACATTTTAAACACATATTCAATGAAATATCTCTTTGACCTAAAATTGTTCATGTTATGAGCTAAAAGTTGCTATTAAGAACTACCTGGTCATGACAAAGTCCTTTTTTAATAAAAGATGGGGGAAGAGGCAAGGCTTTCACCATTGCTAGACTCTCAGCAGCCTATACAGGAAATGCTGCCCTCCCTTGTACTTCTCTCAATAAAGTGAAACAAGGGAAGCCTTCTGGGGGTGATTGATAAAGACAGATAAAGACCCAGTTATCACAGGTTCATCTTCTAACTTGCACACAACCTAGTATAAGGATTATGTTGCCATACGCCTAAGTAGAAAATGTGGGCGCTACCTGCAGATATGCTACATATATTATTGGATTTTTCTAAAACAATATAAAGAATGAAGTGTAATTCTCCTGGCACTTTGCTCAAACAATTCACCAAAATAGCCAGTTAGTACAGACAACTGAAGAAAAAAGCCAGTGAAAGGAATCTAAATATTGTACAGACTAGGTAAGTGACATACTGCATGTTCCATTTTTATCTTCTTTCTGCATCATATACATTATTCCCAGATTACTTTCCAGGCTTTGTTTAAAACACAAAAACATGGATTGGAGAAATCCTCCATCACACGCCCACCTCCCTACCAAGGCTTATAAGGGACTCCAAGGAAGTCAACATTTCATTTTAACATAATTATAAAAGACAATATTTGAAGGAATCACCTCTCTTCCCTAGGGAGACAGTATAAGGAATTTCCTAAAGATAATTTTCAAGAGTACATGAAGTTATAACACAAGGGTATCTTCTAAAAGGAATTAACATTGTTTTCCTTTTTTGCTATCCATATAAAACTTTCAGTCCAGCGAAGCTAAATTAATAACCACAAAAATTACCGTAAGTGCTTTCTCAACTGGTAGTTGATCTCACAAATTGGTTTTGGAGTGCATAGCTAGATGTACTTAAAAACTGCACTAGATCATTCAACAAACATTTAAAAATGTACAAATCTCTCATCTAAAAATAATTATATAATATCTACTAAGATAACTACATAAAATTACCAAAGGGGGAAGGACTGATTTAAAGCTAATACAATGTAGTCTTCTGGGAATCCCATCATATTTCTCAATTAATAAACTTAGAAGGGACAAAACATTAAACTGCTGTTTGAAAAGAACTGATTGCAAAATGCAGAACCATTTAATTAAGCATTTAGTTTATTTTTTTAAGTGACCTCTAAATATTTTCCACTGATGAATTTCTAAATGTTTTTGGCCTAAGTAGTCTGAAAACAATACACAGATTTAGGGTTGCAACTGAGAAAACAGGGGAGGATTTCTAAGTGAATGCTTTCGAATCCTTTGTTCTCATTATACATCAGAATGTGTACAGCAGTCAAGGCATAAAGGAAAGTAAAAATGCAGTTGAATCTGAATACCGTATTTTGCTTTTCAGAACTGCAATTCTTCAATTTACATTCTGCATTTAAGATTGTTCAGGAAGCAAACTAAAATAATAAAACAAAATGAAAATGTTCTTAAATGTAATCTCCTATACTTCTACATCACGCCAATGTGCTACTGGGTATGTTATATATCCTCCCAATATATATTTAAGGAGATGGTATGGGTCCAATAGTAAGAAAATTTGCTTATTTTTTCCTGACAATGTTCTGCTAAAAATCATTTGAATATGCTGCACTGTGATGCATTACAAGTTTGGCAGATATCAGTATTCAAAGTTATTTAAACAAATACTCCACTGACTGCATTAAAATAAATCCTTCAAAATGCCTAAGACCAAATATATCTATATTTGCCATTTTTACATGTTTTTAAAGGTACAGTATTAAACATAAAGCTGTCCAGGAAAAATTTTCCTCAAAAAGAACAGTACTAAAATTCTATATTTAGATTCTTGGCAGTATTGTTCATAATCATAGTACAAATGGTTCATAATCATAGAACAAATGTGAAGCCCTTCAAAAATACATCAATTGTGAGCTGGCTAAAAGCTAGGAGCTAAATTCTGGGGAATAATGAGGGCTTCTTATATTACTCTCTATACTTTTCTGTATTTCTGAAGATTTTTAGCCAAGAAATGGCTAACAAAATTCAAATAATGGAAGGCTATATACTTAAATAACATTTTAAAAATCTGAATCATCCACAGATTTAAAGGGAGGTAAGGAATCACCACTACTTGGACAACCAATACTGAAATAAGTTTTCTATTTTTTTTAGAATTCAAGTAAATCTCTAAAACAAAGGGGAAATTGTCCTTCAAAAAGA